CTTGTATAATCCTTCAGCATCTCTAAAGCCAAGGAAACAGTTTCCCTATCAGTTTCCTTATCAATTTCCATAGGTGTTTCTTTATCAGTTTGCCTAAGTCGACAAAGGGAGCTGATCAAAAAATTTACAGAAGACCGAGGAGGATATATTTTCTTATCCTTAGCAGACAGATAAACCGAGTGTGCATCTTTAGCCTTACTTCCTCTGCACAAATAAGAAATTATTTTTCCAACTCTCACGCTATTCGGAAGTTTATCCTCTTGTAACATCTTCTCACAAACTGTACAAGCCCAATCGAAAAATGACCTCTTACAAAGAGCTTCAATCGTAATATAATATGTATCAGGATTTGTAAGCGATCCAAACTCGCCAAACTTATTGAACACATCAAATGCCGCCTTCCCTTTCCCTAACCTCGATAATAGTGCTATTAATTCGGTTAAACTCTCAGTACTCAGGATGCCCTTCTCCTTCTCCCCAACTTCCTGCACCAGGTCCCATAAAGCATACGCTTCTCTCTTCCTATTTGCCTTGCATATTGCACTAACAAGTGCGTCAAGCACCTGTGTTGTCACCTTAAACTCCGATTTCTTCAAAACCCACCTGAAAAAACCAATTAAGTTCTCCCCTGGAACATACGGTGTTTCAAGCACCATAGTCACAAAATCTTCATTCAAAACCAAACCAATTTTTTCAAAGTCCTCCTCTGGAGACCCATCGGCAATACCACTGCTCTGAAGCAATGACAACAAACTTTGCACCTTTTCCATATCATTCACCTCCATTTTTTCAATTTCCTCATCCTCCGTTGCAAAAGAACCAAACTTTTGGTCCATAGAAACAGAACTCTGATCAATTTCAGCAGCCAAACCATAATTTAACTCTAAGCCATCCGCGTCTTCATTGAAAATCGAAGACCCAGCTTCCAATTCCGACGAAATGGAGCTCGTACTTTCATCAAACACATTATTCAAGCTCCCCTCGAACCCTTCATTGGCTTCCGATTCCGCAAGCTCTTCCTCGTAATTTTCAGATGGGTTCGTTGAGAAAAATCTCGGGTTTGGACAAAATTCAAAATTTCCACATATCCGGATAGAGAAATCCGATTTATGAAACAAGGATTCTATACATGGTACGCTAAACTTTCGAAACTCTGAATTGGGTACCTGATAATAAAAAAATGACTCCCGGAACTTCAGAGCCGCCGTTTTCCGACTGAGAAAAGTTCTTCTTACTAGAAGCGATGACGTCTTCCTCCACATTTTCCTTTCTGCCTTTAGATCTTAACCCCCTGTGCTGTAGCTTAAAAGCCCTTCGTAGTCTTTCTGAAAATGGTTGAGGTCTACTGTCTACATAGCCTAAAATTAGCCCATAAAT